CATACTAAGTAGATACACTGTATGCAACAGCTGTACAATCCTCAGCACTTTCGGAATCAGCGAAATGTGTATTAGCTAAAAACTTGAGAGCCGATGATTATATTGCTATAGTTTCACTCGTTAAAACTGCAATGTTTAATTTATCGGGAAAAGAAAACAGAAACTGCGATTTTTTAACCTTATTCCGGACCTTTACTATATATATGCTTAAATATATATATGGTAGGTAATATATATATATAGGAATAACACAGGACCAGTGTTACACTTGTCTAACACGTTTCTGAAATGCGAGTGAAATCATTCGTAAGCATTTACCGTCTTCCTTGTTTTTAATCGAACTATTTTATTTAGGTATACATATTGAATTCTCTAAACATCATTTGACGATCGTTCGCATCGATTTTGACTGATGCAATTGTACGAATATTTACCCGAATTGTGTATTTTCAAATTTCTTATTTCCAAGATCCGAACAAACGAACACCAATTTGTCTAAGAACAGTAGAACAAACTGTACAATAAATGCCCGTAAATCGTTAATAACGATTTGGTTTGAAATATTAAAAATTCATTCCTCGCCTCGGAACGAATTTGAAACTTGTACGACGACATGCCGAAGTATTCATATACCTTCGACTCATGATTAATGCGATGGAAGTAAAAAAGTTTGCAAGGTGGCACGACACGTCTTTTCATACGCGCAATCACATCTACAATATTAATGAAGATTTATTCAGTAGCAGTACACTACCGGTTTTGGAATAGCGGTGGTACCCATTGACGCGTTATAAAGTTAAGTAAGATGTCACTCAACACTTCCTGTTATCGTTACAAACGCGTGCACTTACCTGCTTACGTCAAAGCAAAGATAAACGAAAGAAACAAAGAAATGGCCAACACACTCGACAAGGATTTAGTAAATTCGACTTTACATTTGAACACGAACCCCTTCACTCGTGGACTGAACTTGATTGCTTCAATTTATACGTGAAACGTCGGAAATCCCCGCGTTCAGAAACATACTGCCACGAAGAAGAGTTCTATACGCGCGGTTGGCGAGACTGCATGGTTGAATAGATCACTGTGTCTGATGTGAATCATGCCGGGACTACTATATATAGCACAGCTATTTTACTTCGACTTATCAAGTACCTACAGGAACAACATCGGACTCCGCTTACACTGCATAACTTCGACCCTAAGCTCCTCCTTTTCCTCTACCGCTTTTTGATTCTGATGGTACTATTAACATCTGCAACGTTGCCGACTCTGAAAAATCCAATGTTGTGTCGTGCCTGGGGAATTACATTCGCATGAAACTCATTGTTTCCCACAATGAATAATGCGTTACAGCAATTTTCCCAGTGCTGACCAGGTTTTTAGGATCTTGAAAATTTGATGATTAACAGACTCGCAAAATCGAAATATGAAACACCAAGTATTTTATTATATAATTATGAAAATGCAAGACGATTCAGCAGAAATGGAATCCCCGCCACTGAAGTGAAATTAAATCCTTATCACTAAAATGGAATCCCCAGCTTGTATATATAATTAACGGGACACACATTTTTTGCGGTTCTCGAGTGAATTTTCGTTGAATTCTGTACTCACGATACTACTGGCATTTAATCAAATGTTTTAGAAACATTTTTACAGTTATAATCATTTTGGACTTTTAGTGCATAGTAAGCTGTGTTCAGTTGGAAAGTTATCTGAACGTTTCGCCATTATTGTAATTGGCTTTATCGAAAGTCAAAGATACTGATACTGTATCAGCGTTAATAAAAAATACTTTACAATCATTTTATTATTTACTCGCGTCAAATATCTTCATTGAAGAAAAATTTCAATGAGGATGCAGACATTTAAATTAAAATATGATCTCTTTTAATATATTTTTGAAAACACAATGACGGGTCATTTTTAATATTTCAGAATTGACTGTACCTTTATTCGGTGAATCCCGTGAACGTGTTCTTTATAGAATACCACCTTTGTTTCAAAGAGAAAACCATCGTGACGTCTATATAGAACGTAAGTATCAGTGGTGGAGATATTTTGCTTATCGTTACTAAGGAGGATATACTGTTACAACCACTGCGAGATTAACTTCGAAGAAAATGAGACGATAAACAGGTATTATGTAGAATTTGCTGCATTGAAAAACAATGTTTTTTCGTTGGAAAATAATATCGCGATTAAACAACCTTATCACACCTTTTGGGTTAAAGTATTATAAATAGTTTGATTTTACTCACTATTAGACATGGTTCAATTATAATTAAAAGGCACTGTTTACATTTCTGAAGGTATGAGTGACTTGTAATAAATGTAGAATACTTTTAGTATGAAAAAAGAAAACAGATTTTATTCCTAATATTATATTGTGTTGCCTCGCAAATAATAAGCTCGTTAAACCACCGAGTCCTTGTAGACTCTAGGTTTCATTTGGTCAACAAATGCTTTCTACAGCTGTAGGCCACTTAGCTCGTAAATTAGCTCGTACAAATTACTTTGGAAAACGCATGTTTCAAAAACTTAACGCGTTTTATAAGTTTATTGTTTGTAATCCTGCATTAAGGCATTCGATTATCGCGCGTCATCCTAGGGTGAGCGGCAGCTTAAGACGACAGTCGGTTAGGGTGGTATTTTCCAGCCCTTTTTGTAAAATATATCAAGTCTCCGCCGGATTGTTTTCTTCTACCCTATCACTTGAACTTTCTTAATGATTCGAACAATTCGCATGTCCAGCCGCAGTCGCAGACACAACCTTCATTTCAATAGTTCATCAGGACATCTGTCCGCAATAAACCAACGAAAAAACGTAAGGCAGGGGTGTCGAACTAGGAGGGAACTTCTAGGGTCTTTTCCCTCGTGAGAGTTACCCTCTCCATACTACTTTCACTTGTTTGAATTGAACACTCATATGTAGGTCTGTCTACGTACACAGACTCGTACAGCTCCGAAAGTAGAGGTAGTAGGGAAACCGCTGATTAAGAGTTACCAACTTGAGGGGAAGTAGTTAGACACCCTTGATGTAGGGTAATTCTGGATGAGATGGCCTGATCTCATTCAAATTGTCAAATATTCATGTTTTCAATTGTTTTTAGTGGTATACTAAATCTTGCACAGATATCTATTGAACGTATACTTCTTATATGCGTTCACTTTTCTAAATATAGTCTTTTTCCGCTGGATGTCAATGATATTTGTACTGTAATAGTGCCTTTAAGAAAAGTGGGCTTTATTATTTTCCATATTTCTCACTCTTCCCATTTCGAAAAATATTAATGTTAATTTGAGTTAGAAGCTTTAATTTTTTATTTGTATTATTAGTTCGTCCCATAAGTTCGTGCCGTTTATTTTTCTAGCACATATAGAATAATATTTTATTAAATATAAAATTCTTATAATTTCACGACCTAACGCTCTCAGATACCTTCTACTGACTGAACCGAAGCATAAAGGTTTAGTCATCGAAGTCCTTTTATCGCTCTGTGATTATAAAACGCAACGCGAACAGTATAAACACACTGCGGCACAGACTTATGGAATTATCTAGTATTTAACCGTATTCAAAATTACTTATTTTTCAATGTTAAATATCGAATTGTGTAATTTAGTTAAATACGTTTTTTGTGCTGCCATATATATATAGTAGAGCATGAAAATTTATAAAATGATTTTTTTTTGCGAAAATGAGATTGTATTACGAATTTTAAATCATTTAATTTTAGGACTGTACGTATTAAACTCGAAGAAACATAATTACGGCAAATTTGTGATATATCGAAAATATTTATGAATAATTTCAAATTGATATTTCAAATGCATCGTGTTTAATACTTTTCTTCACGAAATAGTCATGCTCATGTTTGTGTACATTTTATCTTCTTATAATACATATTTTCATATTCATAAAGTAAACGAGACGTATCAGTTTTTAGGAAACACCCTGTGTATGGTCCTAGATGACTGACGTCATAATTGAATAGTATGCATTCTGTGACGAATTATTCGACTCTCGAAAACAGAGATGACGTAACTGGAACACACACACGTCATTCTCAAATATAAATGTGGCGTTGGGCGGTGCCATGTGTCACCAATACGATCGATAATTGTTCTCTTGATAAGTAGCGGTTAAGTCGATCAGATACACTTACCCATGCTCATCGTTAATGAATATTTATTTATTTTATTATGCTCGTTACATTTCAAGCATTGTTTTGTTCTGAGTACATGAGAAAATGTTGATCGAATAGAAGAAAGAGGTTAGGACAGCGCTCTCATTTTGACAGGCGCAAGTTGCGGACTGTGGTGGGACAATAAAGAAGTCGGTTAAGAAGCCGTGCACCAGTCTGTGTTTATTCATCGTTGAATCAGCTCAAGCTTCCGTTTTATCGCTACTTCAGTATTTTTTTTCCATTGGAATACGTTATTTTACATAGATACAAGATACGGGAAGATTAACTTTCAAAATGGGTGATGGCAAAATAGGTAAATGTCCAGAAATATATTTGTTCTGAAATGGATTTTCCATAAAATAAAGTTTCATGACTTGCTTGCCCTCTATATATATTGTTTTAAATAATATATAAATTATAGTATTATAAAAGTTACTAGTATTTATATATATAAAAGTATTTTTATTTATTTATAGAACCTTTGATAACTAACAGGACATGATAGCTTATCTATAAAAATGTACACATATTAGATAAGAAAATAATAGCTACATATCAGTAGATTCTTAATTATCACTTTTTAATTTCCCAAAATTTAATGACAACATATATATACATTTAATATTTTTATCGAACAGAAATTGTTGTTATGACTCCAAAATGTAAGACTGCAAATTCAACAACAATTATAATAGAGAGGCAAGCTGTAGAACAATTGATGGAAAATGGAAATGAGAAGAATGTTCATGTTGCTGGAGGAGATCATAAAGGAATAATTATTAACAAACAAGCTGCTGCTGGTATAAAGATTGATCTATAATGCGCATTGTATTAAAATATTACTAACATGTATAGAAACTGTAAATGAAAAATTTTTTACAGTTACAAATGGTGAAATACATCCAGCACATCTTTGTTTACAATTTAGAGTATTTTTAGTGAGTGGTCAAACTGGGAAACATACTCAAGAATCCAGAACTCTCCAATTTTGGTTTATAGATACACTTTTAGAAACTGAACATCCAAGTGTAGCACAAGAATTTTTCAGGGAGTTAGTCAGTCCTCAAGAATTTCCACGAGGTAAGAGTTAAATAAAATATTTTATAATTAAGCTTGTTTATCGAAAAATAATTATATTTAGTTATACGCATTTTATATTGTTTAAAATTCCATTATTAATGTAAATATTTTAATGAAAATACTTCGTAAAAGAATCATTATCAAATACCAGTTACAAGTTTCAAAAGATATGTTTTACTGCAGATTATGTTGGATTTATTACAAAAATAATGAAGTTGATGTATCGCAAATATCCTAGCATCAAAAAGATAGAAGTAGAATTGAAGCAGTTAGAAGAACCAGTCAATCTTCCAGCCAGGCCGTGTAAGTAGAATGTTTCCTACATACAAGTAATACATTAGGTAATATTTGAAAATTTATTGAAAATAAATTTGAATGTAGAATCATTCATCTAATTGGTCAATTTACTTTCAATTACTAATTTGTTGTACTTTAAAATATATTCTTGTTTTAATGAAACAACTGTCAAGTAGACAGTAGCATCAAGATTTATTTGATTAGGCTCATTGAACTAAATGGTCTTTCATTGAAAGACATTGCAGTAATACTGCTTGAGTACACATTGTAACTGAAACCAAAGGAAATCCACATTTAACATTTGTGCGGATAATTGTATTTATTTATAATGTCTTGTTTTTCATATATGTCTTCTAATTGGTTATGTAGATAAAAATTTTATTTTAAATCTTTGTTATTCACAGCTAATACTGGTCATATACTGTTCACACTTCCTCCATGTAAGAGAATTATTTGGAAATCAGGTTGGAGAGAATGAAAAAGTTGTATATTCTATTGCAATTTTTATTATTTACATGATACTTTTTACATACTGTCTGTCACATAAAAAAAATAATTATTTCATATTTGCCGGTCAAAGTTTGATAAAACTATTAAATTTCATAAATAATTATAATGCACATCTTATTATCATTGAATTTTATTTATTAATATTTCATTCTTGTATCAAATATAGGGAAGACGAAAAATAGGAAACAAACGCATTTCAATTGTATGTTGACCGGTAGATATATATTATGCTGCTTCACACAAAACAATGATAACCATAACAACAATGGCTTAACACAACTATTTTTAGTTTTTAAATGACATTAGTATATCCTTATAATGGCATTATAAAGTGTTTCAGTGAAAACCTATGATAGAAATTGGAAGAGTCTGAACTTTATTCCCTTGTCTGTGAATGATTGACAAATTAACAGAAAAATTCTGTTTAACCATTTTTTTTTAACTAGGGATTATTTCTCCAAGATTGCATGACTATTAACACATAAATATTACTATCTCTGGTTTCAAGAAATTAAATGTTTTTAACTTAAAATACAATTAATACTTGTTTTCAATTTACCACATGTTTGAAATTTAGTACTAATTTATTTACGTTAGACATGGTATACATTATGTAGTCATCTTTCATTGCTGTGTTACCATGTATAGAAATTACATCCATATAAAGTACTCACCTTGTACTCATAATTGTTTACTGCCATTTAAGATGCATAGACTTCACTTCTGTACAAGCGATCCTATTAAAGGAATTAGTAGTGCAAGTTGCGACCTAGTTTTAAACCACAAATACAATTTCTTTTTTCATTTGTAACGTAGCAGAAAAATATTTAGTATACACAAACTATAGCTGTTTATTTTCAATATTTCGTTTATTGCAAAGCTAATTATATATCATTTATTCTACATCAAGCAATTATATGCTTTACAAATTGACGTATTACTAAATTATTTTATAATATTTCATTTCTTCTTTTAACAGTATCTACGGATGAAACAGTCATGGGTCAAGTGATCGAACTGACGTTGGAAAAGGTGTTAGAGTTAATTGAATCTGCTTATCCAAATCCAGTGACGGTTATTGACTTAGCAAAGTGAGATTTATATTATAAGCATATGCTACTTCTTTTGTAAGGAAGCAGTATATTTATATATTATACGTTTATTTATAGAGAACATGGTTGGGATCCCCCTGCCGTTGAAGCAAAACTAAAAGAATTACAAACAAAAGGTGTTGTTAAAGCAATGGAGCATGGAGCTTATACAAGAGTAGTACATCAAGATACACAGATTCAAGTAAATTTCATTACATTTTATAATATTGAAATATATTCTTTAACTTGAAACAGTAGTTGATAGGGTAAAAATATTACATTTTTAGGTTGTAAAACAAATGCCAACAATGGCGAGTGCAAAACAACCCACTATAGCAATTATTACAGCACAGTATTGCGAAAAACTGGCGGTTGATTCAATGATTGAAAACAAGGAAACATTTGTTCGTTACACTACTGTTGGTAAGATATATTAATTATTTCTGTTTCACATTACTTTGATTGATTCTGTTAAACTCTATTATATTAGTGGTGCAGAAAATGTATGTGTGTGTGTGCGTGCGTATACATATACGAAAGGTGCTTAAGTAAATTTAAATTGATATTGTTTTATTAAGAAGTTATATTTGATAATATTGAAAAGAATTGTTGGTTTTAAGTATTATATGCAAATCGATATGCTAAAAGTAGAAAACGTGTTTGAAAAATTTGTATATTTCACAATGCATGAAACTTTAGGTACGGCAAGCTCAGCAGATGTAACAGATGGAGTACTTCGCGTGACATGCCGTTTTGGTAAAGTAGTTTGTAATATAGTTCATTTTCTGTTCAATGTCATTAATGTTATAGCTTGCCAATTGCTTGGATTGAAGAAAGAGCCATTTTGCTACATAAAATATGCCATTACGGGATATTTTTATTAAAATATTGTTTTTGTCACAGCAATGGGAACACTTACATATATTGTTACAGTATCGTATATATCATATATAAAATTCAAGATATATCATACTTTTAGTGATAAGTCTAAAATGTCGAATAAATTTTAGACGTATTTGAAGTTTAAATCGGCTTAAATGTTTTAGTCGCCTCGAACAGTTAAATGTAATTGAATATTTGTAAACCTTGGAAGTTTTAATGTCCGCTCTTTATGTACCACTTTTCCTTAGCAACAAAGTAAATATTCAATTACGTCTAAATACTTTACGCAATTTAAACATTCAAGTTTACTCAAACTTTTTCAAACTGCTCGAATTTCGTGATAACTTTTAAACTTCAAATGCTCAAAGACCAATACATTTTATATCTACACACTTTAATGCTTACATTTTCAGGGATGTTCATCAAATAAATTACATTTGCTGCACATAAATCTTGAAAGGGCACAGTTTAAATTTATTTATTATTTGATTTTTCTTTCATATATTTTGTGTGTTTTTTTATATGTTCTGTTTGTGAGAGGGATATCGATTGTCACATTACATTGTTTTGTCCCTCTAAAATGACTGATATTAAACTTTTATAATAATTTTTGACATGTTTAAGTTACAGCATTGATAAGAATATTTTGCATAAAGTAGTTCAGAAATTTTATAATTTATAAATGCAACCCAGGTATAGTAGTTATTTATCACTTCTTAAAAAATTTTTTAAAATAACAATGCGTCTTCAAATGACTCATTCAACTATGTATTCAGTAATAAACACAATATAATTTGCATCTGTATGGAATGATTAAATTCAAACAATTTACTCACATATAACACAAGTTCGATATCAGTCTGCAGATAGTAGCACAATGCACATGTATCATACACAAGTTTACAAGTATTTGATTGTACGAAATTTTATAATGTGAACCACGATTACTTTTTGTTATAGGGGAGTCAAATGTTTATACATTAGGCAACATTGGTGCGCACAGAATTGTATGCACGAAATTGCCTACTGTAGGCCATACCAGAGAAGCAATGACTGCAGCAGGAAACACAACTACCAGATTATTGGGTAATATTTTAAATATTTATCCCAGTTGTAAATGTAATGATTGAAAATATGCTTTGCATCTAATTACCCAATGCTTTACTTAGGTACATTCCAAAAAGTAGATTTTGTTTTCCTAATTGGAATTGGTGGAGGTGTACCTCATTACACAGATTATAATAAACATGTGAGACTTGGGGATGTTGTTATTTCACATCCTACTCCTCTTAATAAAAAATATATTTATGTGTATTGTGAAAGTGCAAAAATGAACGAGAATGCTAATTACCATTTTGAAACTAAAGAATATTGTCCACCAAATTTATGTCTTCAAGAAATAGCTGCTAACCTCAAGGAACAGGTAATTAAATTATAATTGAAGGATTAAAATCAAAGATCACAAATCAGTTATTTAAAAGCTGTATTGTTTTGCAGTCTGAAAATGAAACAACTCCACCATGGCAAACGTACCTAAAAGAAGGTTTAGATATTCTAAGCAATCAAACAGAACATGATTTTAAAGCACCACCTCCAGAATCTGATAAATTGTACATGGCTATTGGCGAAAGGGATGTAATTGAAGTGGCACATCCCACTCCACTTTCAGACGCAACAAATAAAAGGTGATTATTTGTTTATATTATAAAAGTTGCTGTATTATTTATTAAGTCATAGCCATTCTCTCACAGAAAAATATATTTTTTTTCATTGATACAAACAATTAGTTATATAACATTTTTTCTTATTTTTACTTTAGAACGGATGGTTGCTCCAGAATTCACTTAGCACCAATAGCATCCGGCAGACATATTGCTCGTGACGATCAACTCAGGCAGAAATTTGCAGCTCGCTTTGGAGCACTCGCCTTCGACGCAGAAATGGATGCTGTGGTGGAAAGTATTTTAGGTAACTGTCGCGAGAGTTTCACCGTTATTCGAGGTATTTCTGACTACAAAGATGGGTCACGTATAAAAGAATGGCAGCCGTATGCATCTTTGGCTGCTGCCAGCGTAATGAAATCTATAATTTGCGCCATGGATCCACCAACTAATGTCTAAGATCATGCATAATGTTCTCACAGTTTGCATTTGTAAGGTGGACCAATTGTTTCAATTAGTAAAAAATGGCCGTAGTTTAAATGGTGCACAAGTTGCACATTAATCCTTAATAAACATTATAATTATTCATTAATTTATATTTCAAGTTGCAACTTTATGTAACGTGAATCGGTCATTTATTCTACGATCAACAAGAAAGTGAGATCGTCCTAAAAAGATATCATAGTCAGAAAGTATCTTGCACAAGTTGCATTTTAATTAGGAAAGTGATAGCTAACACAAGGAACTCTCTTAGGAATAGAAATACAAAATGAATTCGAAATACTTACGCTTTCAAATGATTTATATATCGCTCAACAATTTCATATTTGACTGATAAAAGTAATTATTCTTTTGTCTTACACAGAGGTCATCTTTTACATTTCGCATTTATATATGTATTAACAATTTTGAAGTTAATGATCTAGCATTTTTGTCGACTTACGAACACATTTTTACAGATTTATTCATATACACTTTATATATTTAAGGACGCGTCTATTATTACTTTATATCATTTAAACAGAACAATAATCTAAGAGAGAAATCGGTTTAGTGATCCTAAGACTGGTGCCATTTTTATTCTGTGCCGCACATGTAGATTTCATAAAAATCTCTTTTACATAGAGTAAAAATTACATAAAAATAAAAACTTATAATATTTTCAAATAGTTTATAGCTTAAGTGTTATAATAATGAGGCTCTCGAATATATCAAATCTTATCGGACAGGATCCGAAGTATAGTAGGGATGAGAAACTATTGAAAGCTTTAAATGAAGCCTCGAAATAGTCAACGAGACAATTTAAGTCCAGAGTATGATACCTGAAATTGAAGGCAGATAGTACATTTGTCAGTATTCGTCTAAACATGATGAAAAGTTCGTTACAATATTATCTTAAATATTACACGTTTCTCAGAGTATATCGTCGTTTAAAAACAGATATATGCACTATACCCATGCACCAAATGCATTTGGACTTAAAGAAAAAGAAACATAAGTGAAACGGTGTTTTGTAAGTCTCATTTCGAAATCTTACAAATTTATTTTAGTTTTTTCCGATTTTAAAGTAATGAAAATAGAGTAACAAAAATCAAATGCAATTTTACGAAATACGTATTATTATACGTATTATAAATCTAACTCATCACTCTCTAAGTAGTATTGTATTTCGTCTCATTTTACCAAAAATATCTTGTTCGTCTAGCGATAAACGATTAAAATTATTAAATATTTAACGAAAAATAACCATGTTGCATTAATGACTGAGCTATTAGTAAGTACGTCAATCAAACATGTTAAAATATGTATCATTTCGTATCACAAGAAAAATTTTTGTCCTTTTTGGTAAAATGTGATGGAGTTTACTATTAAAGCAAATAGTGTAAAACATCAAAATAATTTCGATTTAATTCAGTAATATCTTTCTGACGTGTATTGTCATCACATGCGCCTTTTTGTAAAATTCAAATCTTCTATTTGAGAGTTAATCAGTTAAATTATTTTTAATATTTCGTCGATTTTTTACTTTTTGAGTATTTTATAAACCAGAATAATTTTGTATGATAACCGAGAATATTTTTCTCAAGTGTTTCATATATATTTCAGTTTACTTTGATTCTTATTAATAAATTTCATAGTCGTAAATCAAGAAATCATAAACTTTTTCTTTTCTATATGCCGTGTTTAATTAATTTTCTACTGCATATATTTAAGACTCAATTATAATAATATAAATCATCTTAAAATAACTTATTTAAAAGTGTATTATCATAATAAAATGGTTCTGGGCCTTGACATTTACTCATGACCAAAACAGAATTATGAGAAGTTGTTAGCGTACTATTGTATACGCTACCTCCCGAGAGTCTGATCGCATTATCCAGAATATGAATTTCGCACGTCCTACTATATTAAGTTATCTTTTGTGAGATCTGTGTGCGCTTTCAAATCACAAAAGAATAAATTCAGGATAAAAGAATGAATTTAAATATAATTGCTAGTATATAAATAAGTCGTATGTTCATTTAATTTTGTTGTAGTATATTTAAGAGTTAAAAAAATCTGTCTTACTGATTTTTCTGTTGTGTTATAATTTTATATTTTAATAAACTGTTATATATTCATATATTTTATTTTGTTATAATATTCTTCAATAGTCTAACATTTTTCTTTAAATTTTCATGCGAATTGATACACCAAAGTTTTGAAAATTTAACAGTTTTTGTATTGAAAATTCAGGCAAATGCGATTAAACTTTTGGGCAATATTATATTTATCAAACATATTGAAAGAAACGTACAATTACTTAATGGTTACTAAGGTGCCAATGTGTTCAACAAATGTGTTGCAAGGATGATGAGAACCTCTTTTAAGATGATAAATAAACATCATTTCTGGAGCAAACTATAATAAATCGTGTAATTAAAATTCTTCGTTCAAATGATAGTGATAATTGTTAATTTTCACCGACAAATAACAATTGTTTTTTTTCAATTGTACTTCCTATTTGAATAATTTATCTTTTAGAAGAAGGTTCTCTGCGGCTTACACAGTCAAACAAGTACTGAATTTGCACTGCCTCTTGATAATTCTGACGTGAATTTTTAGGATTGTAAACATTTAAATGATTTTTAAGAATACCATTAATTGTTTCTTTTGATAAAGTTCAACATAACTTCCTCGCATTTCAATGTCTTTCTAGATTCTAAAGCACAGGGTAGTATATAAAAATTTTCTATTTAAGTGATGTTTAAATATATATCGAATTCGAGCATAAATCTAAACAAGTAGAAAAGTAGTGCATATATACAAATTCATAAATGTATAGTTAATAGTATACAAATCTTATGATTCTGAAATTTCTGAAGTTTCAGGTATATCACCAATCGTGTATTTATTTTAATCTCTGTATATTTACTTATTTATTTCTATTCAAAAAATAATCTGTTTGTATAACAGAAAAGAGACACTACTTTTCTTTTAAGAATGTTATTTATTTTTTTATTAATTTATGAATATAGCGTTGACGTATATTTAAAAGAAAAAAGAAAGCGAATAAATAGATTTCTAATGGTAGAAGGACCTCAGATCAATATAATTGACGAAAAGAATCACTTGTTGCACAGATGCACATTTTTCAAATTCTATGAAGTATATAGAGAGTGACTATCGTATATACGTATTATACTATAAGTATATCCAATAGGTAAACGTAGACATAAACATATTTAAAATATTTATTACATATTTTGTAGTTGTAAGACAAATAGTCATTCTTCATTCAAAACTTACATTGAAAAAGTATTCCCATATACGTTAGTACTCAAAAGTATTTAATCATTTGCTGTACATTCGTCAGAAACGAAAGATGGTCAAATATAAAATTGATGAGGTTTCTTTTAATTAAAGCACTTCTTATTACATGTGCAATCTGAGAATTTGATTTCGTAAATAATTCGAAAAGTTTGTTTATTTTACACAGTGAATATTTTATACTTTTGAGCACCAAAGTGTATTGTGATTGCTACTATATAATTCCGTTCATCCGGTTACAGATTCCTACTTAAGGCCTAAACACCATTTATGTACAAAGCCTCTCAACAATCTCTGTTACCAAAAACAACAAATTCCTCATAGATAGTTTCCATATTCATTATAAAATATTTTATACATTTTAAATTATAAAAATAACGAATTAAGGTGTAGCAATTTAACATGTAATTGATATTTTACTGATTGTGAGTATCGAACATGCATTGAAAGAATATTTTACAATTCGATGTGTCACTGCCTGTGTATTTACAGAAGATAATCATTTTAAGCAATGGAAACGATATTTGTATGTTGGGAATGCGTTAAATATTGGTCAAATCAGTTACCAACGAATATAGTAACAACGCGAATTAAGGTTCATTTTTACATAAAAAGAAACAAATTAAATGGAATGTTTATTATTGTCGATTCTTAGCGAAATTGATTCCTTTGCGGAAGAATGGAACATAAAGTAATTTTATATAGAAATGGACTTATTGAGAGGTTTTCTATTACAAATAGTACCGATTTTGTAATTACGTTTAAGCAGAGCTTTCAAGCTTTCGATTTTTAACCGTCTATTTGCTGTTCATTACCCTTAAAGAGAGATATTCATAAAACCTACTGTACTCACTGGAAGAGAGAAATTTATTCATCTTGCATCAAATGCTGTTCGTTTACTTGTATATTAAAGGAAGGATAAAGAGAGAAAATTTAGTTACTTACTGCTTTAGTTGAAAGTGGTTTTTCCTGTTTTTTCAAAATATGGCTTTCCTAAAACATTGATAAACAATAGACAAAACCTTTATATACAGGCATACTGCAAGATGCACTCCATTTAGGATCAGATAAATTAATGAACGATTTATTACCTGAAAAATCAAATTTACATCGTCATTTCCGCGAGGTCTGTCTGCAAGGCAAATGAACAATATGCGTACAGTAGGATCTTGATTAATCAGGTCGCCATTTTCCGCGGTTTTGGTGTCTCAAGTTCCCAAATTACACGTTCAAATATATACGATTAAATTTTCCAAAGAGTTCCCATCTTTCGTGAGTTGTCCAATTAAATCGGCTAATCAAGGTTCTCCTGTATTTGCGTTAGTATCACACATTTTTAATGCTAGTCGCACTATTGTGTTTTCTAACTACTTATGTATAGTGCTTATACATTAATTGTAAGCGAGAAATACAATGGGTATACGTTCACTTACGTATTATTTAAAAGAATCTTATTATAGCTTCCTGAATAACATACACAATATCTTTCAATGATTCACGTTGTTACTTAGAGTCATGTCCGTAGCAGCTTCCAAACTTTATCACACGCCATCCTAATTTTCGAATCATTGAAGGGCATTGCGCAATTGCAATAAAACTGGAGCTTTCTTCAATTACAAGTGAAATCTTTCCACCCTGCGATCAAAAACACACCATGCGTTGAACGCCGATTTTTAAGCTCCCTATTGTATTCGCCTATCGTAAACGTGTCAACGCTTTACCGTGACGCGTTTATACGTTTGGGTTATATCGAAAGTAACACAGAACCGTTGAATTTGAATAAATCTTGTAGAATTCTATTGGGTGTATTGCGAAACTTCCGGTCGCAGTCGCGACCACCGATTAGGGTTGTAATAGTCTACAGGGGAAACGGAAACGAAGTGTGTTGTATTTAATTGTAAGTTACTTCAACGCGGAAGAGAAACTGTGATAGTGTCTGGGTTTTCCTGCGCGAAGTAAAGTTGATACACGGAGGATCTTAATGTTAAATAAACGAACACCGTCGACCCTTGTTCATTTTCTTATGAAACACGGATCATTAGGGAACTATGTGTAAAGCAAAATGGCAAATATACGTGAGTTCTAAGCAATGCATTCAATCGGATGCGTACGTGTGTATTTATTTCACCGGATATAATCAACCGGAAGCGTTATCCCGATCGTAGTGTCTAATGATGAATAGCGGTTGCTCTTCTTCTGTCCATTGTGTACATAGGCAAGCGACGGTTGGAGACATTTATAATTTAATGGATTGAAACGCACAGAGATTATACGCAGTATTCTCTCAGTTAATTGCAGCTTTGCATAATTAATACAATCATACAAAGATACAGGCGGCACTTAGCTGTCGCTTTACGTAACAAAGGCTTCCTGCTGTGGCGGAGTTAGTGGTCTTATACGGTACAAAAATTGACAAAGCGGAATTAGTGACGGAATATTGTGTTTAATCGTACAATTCGAATTCAATATTTTAATTGAATTAAGACACGTATCGAATTCGAAACGTATGGTTTGGACGTTTCGAAGAAGGGGGAAGCAAATCGGTTTCATTACAATGATAGCGGACAGTATGATACGTTTTATTAATATAGTAGCTCTTTTTGAAGTAAATATTTTTCAATCGTGAAAAACATGTTTTTCATTCTGAATTTTGAGATACGAACGAGTGCCGATAAAAGGAATGCTTGAAATCAGCGGACTCCTGTTTGCCATGGCTCAAAATATTTGTATTTATACTTGGGGGCCAATTTTGCAAAATTTCTGACAACAGTTCGTTGCACTAATCCAGAGAGTGTATGTTTCATGAACAATATTATATGTTGATTTTGTTCGGAATTTCCGTGTAATAAAACACTTAATGAAACGTGTAGTTCTTTATTCGAGATGGCGGAGGTGTATTGGGGGCGTAAAATTCTCTTCAATATTGGAGTCAGCAGCGACGGGAGCAACAGTGACAGTGACTCGTATATTTGTTCACGTTAAAAATAAACTATAAGAAATACGGATATGAAAATAAATGTTAAACACCTATTCCAGTTAAGATTCTTTACTTCAGCTTTGTAAACGTTACATCTAAGAATAACCAACACCAAATTACACCCAAATTACAGTTTAATTGGAAACGTGAAAATAACATGGTTAAAGTTTTAATAAGCAATTAACATTCTGATTTAGGCACACATTTCCCCTCCTTGTTTCTTAGAAGATTATCTTTGCATTGGCAGCCTATAATACAATTCTGGAACATACAAGCAGTTGCATAATTAACAGAAATATAATGTATGTCCATTATTTCTCTCAAATAATTACACTTGTAATTTTACTTGATCTTGTGTTCGAAACGATGCATGTTTGAATTTTCTTTACACTTACAGCCGTGCAAAACGTTGGTTCAGGATTCTCGCAGCTTGGCGCACAGGCAGATCCGCAGGAGTTCCAAACTTCATTCGATGAACACGTTCTGTTGCCATTGCTGCTCCCTCTCGCTATTTAATTCATACGACCACTTAGTAACATTCAAAGTCGTTTTTTTTGTAGAATTTAAAATATTCAAACATGTCTTTACGCAAATTGTATGAATAATATTCACACGCTGAATTTCCAAAGCGAGACTATTGTTTTATCTCGTAAGCGGTAAAGATACGAAAGTGTATACAATATTCTCACTTTTGTAGTATTTTCAAAGAGACAAAGGAAACCTTCAGTTTTTTTATATTACATATTCTTACTTATTGGTTACAGGAGAAACGTTAAACATTGATTGTACAGAGATACTCTGTATGAAAGCGTTTGGTAAGAACTTTTAAGTTGCAATTCAATTGTAATTAACTTGGTTTATATTCAGATACCTCATAAGAATATTGTTTTATAATTCCAGTACTCACTGATGCACATCGCAACAAATATGGCGAACAAAACGAAAGAAGCACGAGACATTTTTGCTTCGCGAATTATTCGTAGAGCACTTTAGACAAATCCAATCGCACCTTACGAGACACATGCTTTTATACTTGTCTTCTGTCAATTTTCCTGAAAAGAGGCAGACATAGTGTGTCACAAGTGATTGCATAAGAATTGTTAAAACCACTTCTGATGATTATTTTCCTTGATTTTCTTGGTACGCCTATTGAATAATAAACGTTTGATTCTTGTTCCATTCTTTTCTGTTTACAATCTGCTTTAACAGCGAATAACAGCAATAAGAATACACGTGTATTATGAAATAAATGTTTCCCTGTAAAATACGTAAGTCCAAGTTATTTTTAAATGTACACGTTAATTGGCAACTAGAATTTTCTCTTAGAATTTCCGGTTCCACTTGCGAGCAAGAATAAAGCCATGCGTATGCGATGCGATTACAATGTTTTTTTTCTTCTTTAAATGTTTATTCTGTGTGTTCTAGACAGGGAACTGTATTCAACGAAGCAAACTGTAACATACAATTAGAAAAATCCGTCCGTGTAATTCAATCTGCGGATAACTTCGTGTTTAAACGAGACAAAGAAAATTTTATTGGCAGAGACTGTGCATATCGTGTTATGCTAGTTACCATTTTCATGATGGTGATATGTAAAATATTTTGATTTATTTATTCGAATGATTTGAACGATTTTATTTATGTTCAAACGAAGGAGAAACACTTTAATATTACAATCGGTAGATTAGCTTCACTGCTGCAAAGGAATTGCCCTAACACTACTCATTGCACATTTTCGATATTCTAGCATCTGCTTAGGAACATTTTCAACCGTTCCCAATCCTACGTTGAATCTCTTTCAACGCCATAGTACTTCATTGATAGAAGTATTACATACAAAAATATTATATTATAACAAGAACACTTTGATTATTTTATATAAATTGAAACCGATGAGAAAGTCTTCAAATAAGTTCATATTTATGTAGCTCTCTTTCAGGATAATTGCGGGTAAAATAAAATTCAAACTGAAGAACATGTGGATGGCAGAAAAATTAGGTCGGAGAAGATTAATATAAAAGTCATTTCGTTAAGCATTCCTTTTCCACGTTTATTCCCGTTTGACGCGTTAGACAGCAATTTTTTCTGTGAATACAATCAATGAAAAACAGGTCACCGTGACAAGTGGTTTGAAGCCTGCCTCGGTTTTCCACTTCGAGACTCCAACGGCGCAGCTTAGCCTTTCCTGTTCAAGTTTCGAAAAAGCCCTGGGTATTTCTTCGGGCGACTCGAGAACTTTACATTCATACCTCGTTCCTCATTTCCACGTTCGTTTTTACTTATTAAGACCGTGAGCTCTTCCCGATGTACGACTATTTTCTCAGCAAAATTCGCTTCCCCGACGGTTTTACTCTGCGAACGTAGGCCATCTTTGCGCCAATTCTGTTATGCAAATTGTTGAAGCAGAGCATAATTTGTTCGGTCCATCACAAAATCGTTTGGAATTCGCTTTGTTCGATTCGATGTCGTTCAACGTAATTGTTGTCAAAGTTATTTCACTTCGATCCGTATACTGCTTTTAGTTTATTGTATTCTTCATGTACTATAACAAACCTATTTTACCTTTTAATCCTGCGTAGAAAGGGAAAAAGAAAATCGATCCTTTTCAAGCTTCATGTTTGGAAGAATCGAGCTTGGACATCCGATTATTTTACTTGATCGTAGTTAATTACGTGATTAACGATGAATTAATAAAAATATTGTTTCCTTCGAAATATGTACTTACACATTCAGCATTTTCCATATCATGTTTCAGTTTGAATGAGGTCACGGTCAAATTTACTGGCATTCATCGTACGTTTTATTTAAAATTGCTCCGTTTCATTTTTGAACTCACCGCAGTCAAAGGGTTAAGGTTTAATAGTTCGAGGCAAATTTTTTTCTCATACATTTATATCACTTTCAACTTCAGCTATTTTTTAACAGAAATATTGTGATTCTTTAATTTTGCTCACTAGTTTAGAGAATTTGCAGGAAATCAGTAAATTAAACAATCATATATTACTTATGGATGTATTATTATGTGTTATATATTATTTTATTGTATATTGCATCATAATATACGATATATAACTATATATTGTTTATACACTTATATGAAATTATATATAATTTACATTAATAAATTTATTATTGTATACCATATAGTTGCACGCTATTGTATATTATATTACATTCTCATATTTTCTTATAAAAAGTCAATATAAACCTGTCTCTAATTTTGGCCGCTCAGATGAGGCAAATAATCCACTGTGTGACGCACGGTTGACACAAGTGAATCGTATTCGGTCGAATCACCAACCAGTAGTGCTCTCATTAGGAGCAACATAGGGAGATTATGTTGCCGCTGGCTGGTTGGCTTATGGATTAGCATTTCTCCTGTCATATCTGAACTGTGAAGACGTTAGGTACCTTAACAACATTTTCGGGAAAGCGTAACACCGACGGTCGCGGGGCCAAGTACGCGATAAGTACCATACGCGAGGAAGTGAAATTTCGTGTTTACACGATTAAATATTATTACCTCCGCTGCCTGTTTCATGTGCAAAGGAACACAGATATTTCCAAGCGCACTGCACACTCCGCATCTTGCGTCAACACAATTCTGCAAGGGTCTAAAGCTGTTTAAAAGATATGCTATAATGTTCGCAAGGAAGTTTTCGGAGACAACATTACAGCTGCTATTTGTTACCTTGCCATTCCCATTTTTCTTCTTTGTCCTTCGTAAATGATGATTATATAAATTGACATTGAACAAACAAAATTAATTATATTTCGAGAAATTTTGGAAATATATATCGAGCAATTTCGATGTTACTTGTTCTATATCAATGAATTACGAGATTCATGCGACTAATATCATTGGAAATGTGAATTACTTGGTTCAGTTAGCGTGGGCAACAGATTTGCATTGATAATATATCAAACGATAACTCAGTTGGTCCAAACTCGATAACTATTAGTTAAGATTCTGAAGATTACCAGGAATTTGTTCAACGAAACACCGATCTAACAAATATTTACAATCACTTTTAAATTATTGTCTAGTTTTACATTTATAATTGTACATCGTTATAATTGTGCCCACCTCCCAAAGCCTGACGCATTGTAGAATAATGTAACAAATTAGAGGAGCATAGCGAACATAATGAATTCTTTACAATAATGCCAAAATTTCTGCTGTTAAATCTATAACAAACACAGGATACGATAATAAGTTAACTTTCCAGAAATTGTTGTCACATTTCTTATCTGGTTACTTATGCCGTGTTATTGTTTGCTTCTGTTGATCCGAACCTACACGAGACAAGGCTGATACAGAAGATTGGCAGGGTATAAAATCTGTTTCCCGTTAATACTTTTCATCAGATTCACTTGAAGTATCTTACGAACAGCTTACTACAACTTTCTTACTACAACACCAAGATGTCTCGTGCTATTCTTCTTTTGTTGGCCATTTTCGCCATGTTCTCTATCGGTGAGTACAGAAATTACCAAGTACATTATTAGATATCGTTCAAATACGATCTAGGCACAACTGCCTCGAATATTAACCCTTGAATTATCAACCCCTTGAATATTAATCTCGGTTTATAATTTCAACTTGAGATCAGTAATAATATTAACCCTTTGTAGCCCCATGCCAACGCAGTGGCAACTTAGGGCTTTGATACCGAAAATTGAATGCTGCAAATGAATCATTTAATTATTCAAATTGATTTTGAAATTTCGATCTGTAATTCAGTTTATAGATAGAACTTTTAGAAGTTTAAAAAATTCCCGTTGGCAAAGGGTTGAAATTGACATGGGACGACTAAGAGAACATCGTAGACAAAATATTTTAAGATAATGTTCTAATAAATCGATTTATAAATTAAACAGCGTCTGCAGGTCGTACCTGCCCACCGAACGAAGTTTGGACCGATTGCGGAACAGCCTGTCCGCCAACTTGCGCGCAGCCTGATCCACGGCCTTGCACTCTGGTTAGTATGAAATTATGAAACTGTTTGTGGAAAATATTGCCTATTCGCCATACATTCTTCAACGGTCCCTTTTGTACTTATGTTCTAGCAATGCGTCCAAGGCTGCCAATGCAGAAATGGTCTCCTGAGAAATAAGTGGGGAAAATGCGTTCCCAAGTCTGCATGTTGTTGATCGTGGACCTTATCAATGAATTTTTTAATTACTCGGCTTGAACTATAGTTATGATTATATGCTTCTATTATAATGGTAAAATAAAATTCCCTGTTTGCAAACGTATCTTATCATTGGTTCTTTCCACTTCGAAAATTGAGTTTCCTTAAACCAGAATACTTTTCAATCTGAATATTACGTCGTAACGTTCATTCGTAGTTATGTGTTCTTTGTTTTATTGAAAATCAGTTGCAATTTAATTTAAGAAAATTACTTTTTTTTAAAAAAAACAAGAATATTTCGTTGCATAAAAATCCAGAACTTTTGAAAGAATTAATTCTTTTCAATGATCTAATAATTACGTAATAAATATACGCATGTATGATTGGAATTGATAAAGAAATTGTAGTTCCATAGTAACAGGAAAATTCGGAAATAGATTCGACACATGCAAATCTACTGGGAGCAAATATTTTTCCCTGAAGAAGGATTCTGCTATTAATCCGTGTTATTATCGTAAAGCCGCGACTGTGTGAATAAGGATATTCAAAGATCTCGAGAAGAACGAATAATGGCAAATTGTGTACCGATTTGACAATAATGTTTGCTATATTTAAGATACGAATTGTTTGCGTTCCGTGCCTGTGACGGAGTTTCCCGGTTCGCGTTTTTTCAATTTTCCTGGGAAGACCGACGCATTCTTTTCCAGGAATTCTACAATTTTTAACATTTTTCTATATCAACGTAATAAAACAAACAATACGGAATCATTACTAGGAATTTCCCATATTACCACTGCCTTTCTAAAGTCATGAAAATTACTATTACCTAATATTCGGAGACTACAAGTTTTCGTCGTGCTAAATAATTTAATGATTCCGTTGACGAACGTTCAAAGATCAATTGTTATAGATCATTAAATTTGTTTTTTTTCTGTTGACTTCAGTGTCAACAAACAGTTACCGGGAATATCGATTTGAAATTGAAACGAGTACTTTCTCCCCTCAGTAATTGTTCGGTGCCATTAAAAGTACCGAAGAGATTTTAATCTTCAACTTTGCATAATTTGTCCTGCGCGCGTAATTTAAAATCGAGCAGGAAGTGTGGTTATGGTTACACGCAGAATAATGAATATACAGACAATGTTTTACGGCGTATATAATGGTTCACGGTGTGTACACACAGGAAATTTTCAGACGAGCACGTCGTATGGGACACCTATAGTGCGCCAAGTGATCATTAATTTACAGGACACCGTCTAAGAGAATGGCGGCAGGTAATAGAACCTGCCACGCGAGTGAAGAATATGTATTATTACATTGAGTAAGTAGATACTTTGACCACTTTGTAAATGGACACGACGAAAGTTTCAAGCGGAATTTACTGTATAAATACATATTCCCGAAGCGTTGTCTCTCCTCGCGCTACGAAGCGTTAAAAAATTTAATTAGGAATACGAGAAGTAGTTAGGAATTACGTTAACAAATTTCAATTAAAAGTCTAGTTAAGGAATTTTAGTGGAAATTATTAACTAAAAGTCTAGTTAAGAAATTTTAATAAAAACATTTTAACCAGCTGCTGCGATACTGCTGATGGATACTGTTAAGAAATTTCAATTTAAATTGTTCAATATTATATAATATTACCTTCCGTATCACGGGGTATTGAACTGTGTTAATTAAGCCAGCAAATGACATTCTTGTTTCATGCGACAATGAATCAACCCGATGGTGGAATTACCTGCTTTTTAACCCGTGAATTTTTGAACGCGCAAAATGGTGGTTAGCCGACGTAAAATTGTTTTACTTGGCGTGTGACTGACAAGCTGAGCTACTAAATCAGAATCGCACTTGGAACGGAAGAGTTGGAACAAGTTCATTCTTTGGAATCGCTGGAAACACAGACAAAATTGGGATCAAAGGGAACTCTTAGAATGAAGGTAAGCTGAGTTTAATTTTGCATTTTACAAGTTGAGACTTCTAATTTATCTTTCATTGTTATTTCTTTATTCGAGGTATTCGCTTGTCAAGGCGATTAATTGTATAAAAAGATTAGAAAAATTTAATGCAATCATATACATAATGAAACAACTGAAAATACTCAGAAAGTGGAGTTGATTACTTTGACCTGCGACTCATTATGATAAATTGTTAATAATTAAGTGGTAACGAACATCTTCATTTTTTATAATAAATTGTAATACATGTTCAAGAAGTTTTAAAGAGTTTAGAAATCTAATACATTTAACATTTCGTATTTTATGATAAACATTCGTTAAAAGCTTGACAAATTTTCAAATCAGATCTCATGGGTGCATGTATTAATGCGTGTAGCATCTCAGCTATTATAGAATGGTACTTCATTTCGCTTTTGAAAATGAATGAATGCATTACTTAATCTAAATCGCTGTGCAGAACCGTGTGTATTCAAATTTTCAAAGATACAGACAGTTAAGGAATACCATTTCACGTCGCTTTAATGAATAATTATCTCTGCAGCTGTTACGTTACACTTCCTGTGCTTTTTATCCATTTAATTTGCGAGCCAACGCTGCAAGGTGAGCAATTTGCATTTGCAACAATTAGCCATTTAAACGAACATTTTCATTTGCATTCGCGACGATTCGTCAACCAACGGTTAATCCTGCGAGGACGGTCCTTGAATCTCTGATTTATGAAACTTAAACGTTATCATGCGTGCAATATATTATATCTCGTCACTGCGGCGTATATGCATATGCAAATCTTCATTTCCATCGTGAACAATAGGAGAATTATAAAAAAATAGAATTTCATTTACTGGATTAAATAGTTAAGGTCACGTTGCCGATATGCTTGAGCCGCTCCGATTTTGTTGATTTTCAAATATCTGGAATAATTATTATTACTGAACCAGGAAGCTAATTATTATTGTTAAATGAAAAAATTTAATTATCAACGTGTTCAATAATTAAAGAGTAATACACGGAAGAATGAAAAGCTCGATATGATTTTGCATTAAAGATCTTTGGTTAAAGGAAAAACGTAATAATCCACGGTATGTTTTCTGCTTTATTAGATTAAAAGTCAATATCCATCAACATTTCCCACGCGTTCAGCCAATAATCTCTGTTTTATAGGTGAAGTGCGTATTAATAAAAAATTATCGACCGTTAAGGGGTAAACGGTGCCCGTTAAGACCTCAATTTATTTCAGAATAATTTAGCCCTAAGTCAGATCGTAACAGAATTCTCGCGGAGTTCAAATAAAGTAAGCGATACCGGCGCACTTTCATAATCATTGTCGCGAGGTACTCCTTTATACTCCGTTGGCACGCCGACGCGAACCTTTTACCCTCATCCCAGTTCCATCAGAAACGATGAAGCGTGAGCGATTCCCGTTGCGTTGGATTAAAACACCCATTTTATATAAGTAACGTTCCATTCGTTTCTTTTACCTTGAACACCTCGATACAAGCAGTAAAACTCATCAAACAGACTGCACTCGATATAGGGTGTCCCTTTTATTTCGTACACCTCGATGCAATTTTCAAAAACCATTAACTCCTTGCCTTGTAATAACGTGCGAGACTCGTGACGAACATTTTCAATAGAATTTACCGAACATAAATATTACTCGATTCTTGTGAATATAAATGAAATATTATTCTTTTGTTATTGATTATTATATTGCAGGGAAAACGTAGGCGTAGAATGTGCATACAATTTTTCTCTTTTTTTCAACCAATTATTACTGACAAAGTTGTCGCATCGATCACTGTTGAAAAATGAATCATAGGGTAAGGGGTTAATTCGTCGTTTTACATTTTAGAAAGTAACCTCTAAAAGAATATCAAATAATATTTACATTCGATCGAACATAAGAATAACACGATAATAAAAATTTGTTGTCGCTATTAAAAGATCACCGTACGTCTCGGAAACCTAAAAGAAATTATTCAATTTTGCACTTTATGTTTTTGACAATGGTTGGAGATATGAAATTAATTCGGGATATTTAGGGGGATATTCGAATCAATGATAGCTCGGGCCATTGTTCAAACATATTTCATTACATGCAGTTTCATATTTATTATTTACAGTTGCTTTTTCGTTCGTTCAATAACAAATATCTTTTTTTACAATTGTCGTTGCTTATGTGTACCACTTATGAATAAAACATTCCTTGGGATTCCTAAAATTGCGTTCGGACAATCTTGATTCTCATTTCGCGATACAAAATGATAATGATGCTGTACGTGTCTATATACAAGTGTCAATCGCGTTACGTGCTAGCGGCTAATCGAATAATTAGAAAAATAAAGGTTATATACAGGGGAGCCTTCCATAGAACCGATGCAACTTGAATGAAATCAGTATTTTCGTTTGAAACGATATTGATTATTTCTGAAGAGATAATTAAATCTATCAAATGTGCAATTAATATGTTTAATCATTTCCAAATTGATGTGATTTAAAAACCAATAAATATGTTATCAATAAATAATTAAACAAACTACATTTATCAAAGAAGAAGTAATTATACTATATCTTCGAAAATTTATTCATCGAACACTTGCCCACAACTTCCTATCAGTTGGAACATGAGAGGCTTCACTGTAGTAATTCAATATTTGTGTCAATATATTTCTTTCAATATATTGACCACCGGTCACTCATGTAACTCCTGCGTCACAAATTTCTAGTTAAATTAATTAATAAATTACAGGGGACAATATTTACATCACTATTCTCGTTCACGTTGAATATCAGTCTAAATTTCATACAAAATTCATAATGCGAAATTATACAGTCACCAATTACAACAATGTTTCCTATAATTGGTTCGTTTACTTTAAAAGTAGTACAAATCCATTCCTTTTGATTTCAGATTTTAAATTGCGTTCCCATCGAACGACAACGAAATATCAATCGACCAACACGAACGGATCATTTAAAATTACAAATCAATTATAAATTATAAAACTTCATATTACACTTCACATCATTCTTTTCCTAAACTTTAAAAGAAATCGACTCACGCCACTTTCAAATTAAACAAGTCCAATACTTTCAGCGCGCGAACACCACTTTGTTTATGTTTTTGTCCTCCATTTACTTTATCGACGAACTCTTGAGTAATAAGAAACATTCGATCTCAAGATGTGTTCGTGAAAAGTTTAAAAGTACATCCCTCGAGACGCGATTCCAGATTTCCAGTTCCGTTACAAGTGAAAGTCCTTAATAGGATTTCCTTGGCATCAGTCGTACAGAAAATGGCGGCTTGATCCCGACGATCGAGGCCCTTGATCGTTCCCAGTCCCGCTCTTGGACGAGCGCCATGATATTTTTAAGAAAAAGTCGTCCTGTTCGTCACCGCTTTGCAATAACATTACGTTCGATCTGAGATTCTCGTTGCACGACGCGTTCTGCTTGTACTAGACATGATCTTCCTCCTCCAAGAGTCTTACTACCTCTGAAAACAAAGTTATCCTGAAAGTTCCGAAGTCAAGTGGCTCTCCACTCTAGCGTCGCGTACCGCTTTCGCGGTGAAAAGAAACAATTGATGTTACACTCTCACAGAAGGTCAATATTGAACAATGGACAAATAAATTAAACTAAACGCTTTTCTCGTGACCACTTCTTTCATGATTTTTATTAAATGGATGATTCAATGAACTGTTAAATAAATTCATTGAATTATTAAATGTATTATTATATAGCAAGCAAGCACACATTCGCTTTCATTGTTTACGATTTCGAAAGGTTCGAATATGACGACTATTTTCATTTTTCTTTGAAATATCCAATATTCCATATTACGCGATACAATAATAATCACTTTATTCGATCTACATCGAACATTGTGTTTCATCGTTTCGCACTTTTCACGTTTCTGAATTCACATGGTTCATAACGCGATGAATAATAATGCGGATAATAGTCAACGGATTATTCATTTTTTATTACTTTGTCTTTCCCATCGATGAATTCGTTTTTCGCCTTCCAGTTCAATTTTTGTGAAATGAATTTCCATAGACAGCAGCGATGCGGGGCTAGTTTTTAATTATCTTCTGAAACTTAGAACCGCTGGCGAATGCTGTTTCGCTAAACTTCACGCTCTAGCGCAAAGTGAACGAAAGCGAGGGACGAACTCTTCGGGAAGTTTAGAACGTAAACGTATCGAAAACGTCGAGGCTCAGTATGAAACTGGGGAAAAGAACGAAAGTATTGGAACACAGTTTGGGAATTATCGTTTATCGAATTAACGACCGGATGGAAGTTATGAAAATGGGCTTCGTATTTCCAATAATCTAAACGGACGGCTATCCGCCGGCGTTTCAACACTGAATTTCGTCTTCTCGCGTATTCGGATCAAATTGTTCACCCTTCGAACGTAAAGATTGTACATAGATGATGAAATCTCGATATGATTTACTCTAAAAGAAAGGGAGCTTTTAGTTGAATAGCTTCTCACGAGAGTATTGATTTATTCTGCAGCTATTATTTATAAATCGTATTAAATATTAATTCAATGTATGCTTGCGACGTGTACTCGTTTTACTAGAATGATCGAATTTGCTTTTTCAAACCTTTAAAATATGGATAATGATGGATAACAAATATGATTTAAAAGTGCCATTTTTTTCGTGTGATTAATCTTTTTTAGTTATCGAATTTAAGGAATTTATTTCGTGAATTCGGTGAATGTACTGAATTAGTCATTATACTGCATTATTGAGTTAAATGATATATCGAAATTGATCGAAGAGGAAGCAGCAGACGTTCGTGCAAGAATAAGGTGTTTAAGGCATCCCATACGGTGGAAAATAGTATCGAAATTTATGTCGGTACAGAATCGAATGTATATTACCAGATTTAGCGACGAGCGAAGTTTTCGCGAGATAAATCGTCGATTCGTTTCCACTTAGTTCGCTGTTGTTCCCAACTTGTATCGCGTTCTTTGTTGACGTCATGGCTACATCGCTGTTTCTGCATCCCACTCTGAAAATGTACGAATTTTTAATGAGAAACACACAATCATTAGCTTCCCTTCGTGAAAGCATGCCGATTAAAAATTTCGTGAATACCGGTGAACGCCGATGAAAGGTTTATCGCATCCTTTTCGCGTGAAATCGTGCAACAATTTGTGGATTCGATCTGCTACGTAAAAACTCACAAATTAGCAAATAAAATAAATTGAAAGTTTGAATCTTCCAATATTAATAATCATATAAATACGATAATTACTAAATAAAAACAGTAGCGTTAAGATTTGTTCCCTTTTAAAGACAACGATTTTCGATAATTAAACTAAAGATACGATTGTTGAATTTTGCTCAAAATGCTGTAACCTTTAAACATCCATCAGAATAAAAGTTTTTAATTTGTCCAACGAAAATCAAAGAAAAACTGCAATCTTGAATTGTACTCTGATGTTTCACGTTTAACGTTTCATAACAATGCAGACCTGGGTGTAAACAATTTTTGATCCATCAAGATCAAAATTTGTCGTTTATTCAAAACAGAACCAAATAGAATGCGCTATTTATAAATCCTATTCAAAATTGCTATTACACATTACAATTCCATAATAAAACAAGAGCTACGTTCAACGCGTCGAATGTCGAAAGTGCGCGAAGAGCAGAGAAACACGAAACGGCGGATGCCATTGATTACCTCCAGCACCGGTGACAGTTGAAAAGGCCCAGGAACGCTTGGCGGAACTTTCTGTTCATGAAACAGTAAGTGATGGGATTGCAGCAACTGGAAACATAGGCGAGTAAGTGTACCAAGCTAATGCCGGTACTCCCGACCACAGAATATACCAATTCTGGGGCGAAAAGATGCCAGGTATTGATCACGTGCAGCGGTGCCCAGCAAATGAAGAACTCCAACACAATTACGAACAGCATTCTGATTACCTGCAATTCACATACACCGAGAGCCTCAGCCAATCAACCGTTACGCTTCGAATATGATCGGCCAGCTAAAAATCCTCTTTCAATTTTCTGCGTGAGTTTTATAGTGCCCTGCCAGTTCGAGGATAACGGTAAAGTGAACTCCTTCCAATTAAACGGAACACCGGAAACCATTTCTTAAACCGTTCATCGCGAAAAATAATTCTATCCATCGTCTATCGATGTTTCAACCCTTCGCGCGCGAGATGAGAATTTCGATTACCATTTGGTACAAGAAAATTCTGAAGTTTCATATTCTGTATCGCATTTTTTTATTGTTTAGTAATGTGTGAAGTTTTGTTTTTTAATTTACTTATTAACATTTATATCGATGTTTCAACCCTTCGCGCGCGAGAGGCGAATTTCGATTGCCATTTGGTACAACAAAATTCTGAAGTTTCATATTCTGTATCACATTCTTTTATTGTTTAGTAATGCGTGAAGTTTTTTAATCGAAAATAGTATTGTTTTTTCATTTATTTATTAATTGTTATGGGGTAGGAAGATATAAAAGGAAACCTTCTTGCAAAGTTACTAGCTTGCTCCAAAAAGGAACCATCGTGATCGATTATATTTTATATTTTAGAAATGTATAAATTAATTAATTAATTATCTCTGTCGATAATTCCTTCGATTAACTAAAATTACAATGTAACCTTTGACAATTATATCAATGGTCACACGATTAAGTTTGTTGCGTTTGATCACGTTTACAATTTCTCTAATACCATTGCGTCTATCTAAATTAATTTTCTCAATTTAGCTGTCTTCTCATTTTTCCAATAGCGCCTTCGAATTCGGGGAAAATGCAACCGACCTGTAAACTGCATATTTCGACTTTTTCATTATTTCGTGGACAGCTCGATATCGTTCACAAATTTCGGTTACATTATTGTTTTTCACTCTGCCGCAAGTGTTTAAGGGTTTCGAAACATTAATATTCAAGAGCCGTGATATTGTGCAGCACTTTTTGTTTTTGAAACTGCACACAATTTCAGCACAATATTGCCTCGGAAATTCGTGAATTTTAAACCTCTCTCTTGGTACTTCAAAGCGTGCACCGTATAATGTATTCGCGTGCTAACTCTCGATAGAAGTACAAAAATTCATTCTGTTTCTAATTGCTGCTTTGTGAAACACTCGGAGCATGGTGAAATTAATTAATTAAACTTTCTTCTGCACAGTGACACCTTAATACGTTAATTGCCCCACGTTCTCACGAACTGCTCTTTAACGTTATGCTGAATAATAAACAGTGCTTCGCTCGATCATTTTCTATATGATATTAATTACAAAATAACAGAGAATAGAAAATACTCTTTATCAAATAAAATCCACGCACGTTTTCTCGTAGTCCGCATTTAAAATAACATCGATTTTGTTGATTCCGGACGTAATTGAATTTGCATTTGATATTTAATCTGTTAAGAACGATATTTACCAGCGTAGTATTGTACCGTTTGATGTATAAAATTCTTTTAATAAAATCATGGAATAAATGTTCCAACAGTAAATTCAGAATTTAACGGACATTTCGCGAAGAATTATGCCTCCCCGGCGAGAAATCAATTTTTGAAAAGTACAAATGCTTCTATTTCCCGTAGCAAAAGAATTCATTAACTTCTTTAAATTACACGTTGCTAATCTGTTTCGTTTTAATAAGATAATTGAATATACAATCCGAGTGATTCGTGTATTTCAATTTTTGTTCTATTCTATAGCATTACAAAGTTACGCACAAAGAACCAGAATTTCAAAGGTTGACGTCACCTCTTTAAAGCTATTTCCGGAGTACAATTGAATATGGCTCGAGCATCTAAAGAGTTGCGCACGTCGAAATTGCACAGCGTTTTCCGTTTCAACTATTCTACATAGTTCCTGCCATGAAATGTATTACTTATCCACGGAGTTTCCGAGAAGCCCTCCTGTACGCGTACAAACTTCACTTTCAAAAGCTAAGAAACTATTAATGTATCATTATGTAAGGTATGCGAGAGATTGAGGTGTGAATGAGGAATGTTTATAGCCGAGCGATAGGAGTGTAGGGCACGCGAGAGATTAGGGTGCAAATGAACAGTGTTTATGACCGACCGATAGGGATCGAGTGACTGAGAAGAATGTTTAGGACCGAGTGACAGAGCTTGAGAGATCGAGTTACGAATGAAGAGGGTTTTGGGGATCGAATGTTGAAGACTGTATGAGTGAGAGGATGAGTGCAAGAGAAAGATAGAGTAATTGGGAACGAAATAAGATGCGTGAAGGCAGCGAAAGGAAGGGGCAGTCCGAGACAAGCGTTGGAAGAGTCAAGAAGTATTAAAAGTGTATTGACCCTTTGCACTCGGAAGTATTTCGTTAGCAATACTTAACATTCTCTAACTAGACAAAGACGATGGTTCCTTTTCAAATGAATTCAAAGAGAAATCACGGGTAAATTAAGAAACAAAGCTTTTTTATCCCAATATTTCGCGCACTGATGCATCATACACAGTTCAATATTAAATATTAAATTTTCTAATTTTACTGCGTCAAATCAAATGGCGACTGAAGGTCACCTCTCGAGTGCAAAGGGTTAAAACCCCGAGAGTATTGCTTATTACACCTCTCCTACAGAGTATACATTGAAAATCGCACAATTAATTAGCCCCTATAAAATATCAAGTTATCATTCCCACTGCAAAATCAATATTCGTTCAATTTCGGTCGGAAATAAAAATGTCAAATGAAAAATAATAACACGCGAACATGAAAAATCACTTTCCTATTCCACGAGCAAGTTTACTTTTTATATTTCTGCTACGAATGTTATAGATGAGAGGGAACATGGGGCAAATTTCGAATCACTCTGTATTTTTCCTCTGCGAGAGGTATAATAAAAAAGTTCAATTTACGAGCAGCGATGAAAACTAATATTGAATGATTGGTTTCCAAGTCGTCGGTCGTGTCGATATGAAATTCTACTATAATTCTATTTTGCAGTGGCTATGGAAAATGTTGCCCGCAATGGTGAACTTCAATCGCTCCCATACGGATGCGTACTGGATTAAACTGTTCCTACTTTAATCGAGTCCCTCGCGATGTAACCAGTTTCGCAGTTCAGTCCTCGTGCGCGTTTCTGTTTGACCAAGCTATGAAACCAATGGAACAGATATTGCCGAGTACGCGACTGGGAATGCGCTAAAGCGGAGAGTGCGCCAATGAAAGTTCAGTAAAGGCGAGTCCTTTAAAAATGCACGAAGTGATAAACGTTCGAATCGACTTGACGATGGATTTCCTCGATTTGGAGTCCCTTGACGGGATTTCGTTTGTTATGTTAATCAGATTGCGATTAATTAACCGTTTGAGTGCTGAGCGCTGTAGCGCTCTTCTTGTGTTGTGCCAAAATTGCGGAGAGCGTGGCGCTTCTGTTTATCGGTACCAATTATAATTTTCTTACTATATTCTTCAAGAAATAAATCAAAGTAAATTTATTTGAATAAATGTTATTTTCTGATATTTTTTTTGTA